AAGACAAGTTGATACAAATGACCAGTCTGATCCTGGTGGTAACAGAGTTAAGATTCGATATGGAGCACTTCGGGCAAGTGCTCGTCCAGAAAATCACGTGCCCCTGACGAGGGCAATATTGTAAATATTGAGCGCTTTACTCACTATTCGAAGGGAGCCAAGTACACGGAAGCAGTATCCAGGCCAACGATTTTGTCCATCATGGTCCTTCGCATTATGAAGGCATGCGTAAGAAGCCAAATAAATCCGCTATCGGGTGTCATTATACATTGCCAGGTGGGAACCAATTCCCAGAAAGTTCCTTCGGTGGAACAAGGACTGGAGGAGAAGTAATTTGACGCGGGTCGAGCGCACAAAGGCGTCATCTAGTCTCCGTGTGGTCAACTACAAGAGGACGGTCGTAGCGGGAGAAACTTATGAGAGGGCGAGCTAAATCTCAATCGTGAAGATTCTCATTTTACTACGAACCGATTTAGGAAATCATCCCAGTGGGCGTTATGCGTGATGCGATACCCAATTTCCATCATTCTATACATGGGGTATCGGCTCAACTCTGCTCCCTGCTTGGAAGAGTACACGACCTCCATCATGGAACCGTTACCACTATCGTTTGGCCTACCCCATGCCAAACGAGGGGAATAAGTTAGGCCTAGCGCCAGCGTAAGTCATAAAGGCCTAACTTTATGGCGTATAGCTTGTATACAAGGCAAAATTAGTAGTCTTAAGGTGTAGAAGAGAATAAAAGGAATACTATCACTTCAAGTAAGTAGACTGTAGATTGACATACTACCACCAAAGACATTCATCTTGAGACAGATCTATCTAAAAGAAGTTTATGATCTCAACTTGAGATGTCAATACAGGCAGAAGTTCTCTTTCACATCCCAATCCAAACCTTGAACCTTTAACATAGGCCTAGACTCAGGTCCTCACAAGTCAATACTAATGCAGACTTTCCAATAGGCAAATCTACCACTCAGCAGAACTGTGACATGAGCTGAAAGTGAAATGAAAGAGGGAACATCAGGCTAATAGACCTCCTGTCTCCATGAAGTCATATACGTTCACAGTAGAACCTCATGGAATATATCATATACAGACAAAACTTGATGTGCAAATGTTAAATATACAGCAAACCATAACTTGATGTTACCTTGTGCAGCATCCCCTTCTGAGAGGTCATTATCATTGGTGATGGTTATACTAAAAGGAAATGAAAGAAAAGCTGGGCTAAGAGCTTAGTTCTGAGAAATCTTCCAAGTTTGGCAGGCATTCAATGTTAATAATGGGAGTCTACCTAGTATTTTGCTTTGTCATCTTTTTTTTTCAGGTAAACTGATGTTTCCCCATGAGAGAGCTAAGTGTTGCAGGTGATTCCTGTACAAGTTTGATTATTCTGCTATATGGAGACCTGTTTGCATCCGTGCATTGTGGGAATAGACAAGGCCTGAAAGTATTAGTGTAAAATTTAAGTACAACTTCCTTGCATAGAGGCTATCAAGTCTGTACTCATATATATGTGGTTTACATAGCAGTGTATAAAACCATTTCCAAGGTTTTCATTTTGGCAAAACATTCATCCCACATCCATCATGGTTAAAGCATATTGCTGATGCTGAACATCAGCACTGCAAGGGCAAAAAAGTGGATAGAACTTGTGGATTCCCCTCTCTCTCTCTGCTTCCTCCAGTCATCATGAATAGTCATCATCATTACTTTTCCTTTTCAAGATAGGAATCCCTTTCCAAGGGCTAATATAATATGATATGAAAAGGTACCAAATGCAAGAGGCTCTAAGCCCATAGCTGCACTCTGGAATAACCAGCTAACCCTTTCTTTAGCTAACTTTCATCTTATCTTACCCCCCTCCCCCACCTCTGTAATTTCAGCTAATATGAGTAACCTTGGGAGACTCAATTTGACCCATGCAGTTACTTTGGGGATATGCTACCTAGGTTCAGCTTTCACCACAACAGGGATCTTTAACCTCCCACATCCTAAGTTGGAAGTGGCAAGTGCTCAAGGGTCTCCCTTCTCAAGCATGTCAGGGCATGCATGAAGAAATAAACATCAGACTTGGTTGGGTTCAAACTCTAGTCCCCTGCTGCATATGCCCAGCTTGTTAATGACTGAGCCACTCACCTACCCCAAAGCCAAGTTATACAAATAATACAATTTACAGCAATTTCTCCTCACTCCTCTTTCATCTTGAGATTCAGTATTCTCTTTTGAAATCTGAATGCAAGATTTTGGTCTCATTGCAGAAATGTAAGGTTGAATCTTGTTCAATTCCCACAGCATTCTGATTGGGAACTCTGAGATACACATCCAAATTTGAGTTCCACCCTCAAGATGTAGGATCACCCTATTTATTGTGATGAATTCGCATCTGGTTGGACTCCTGGATGAGAAAAAGTTTTATAGGAATTTATGAATGGATAGTTTCTGCATCTGTTGAAAATTAGGATTTTCCCACCAATGGAAAATTTTTATTTGATAAGACTTCAAATCCCAAAGATCTAGTTCTGGTTTTGCATGGATAATTCCAATCTGTTAGACCAGGGGTGTCAAACATACGGCCCGCGGAGGTGGTTCATCCGGCCCGCCGCCTGCTCTTGAAATTTCCGCTTGGATTGACTGATAGCACAAATTTCGGTGAAGAAGTATTGGTGCGGCCCGCAGGCATCTGCAGGATAAGGAATGCGGCCCGCCGACCGATTTGAGTTTGACACCCCTGTGTTAGACCATATAAACTGCCTTTAAAAAAAAGCACATGGTGAAAGTTTGTGGCTTATGTTCAACATTCGCACAAATCCCAATAATTTTTTTAAACCCTTTTCCGAGCAATGTGTTTTTATAATGTAAGTGGGCAAGGGGAGTCCAATGAACTCTTTCCTTTTTAATTATCATGTTATATATCATTATTTATTATTTACATTATTTATCCTGTATTAATATGACTGCCCAGTTTGCAATCATCTCACTTTAATACAAGAACAATTCCCAGAGTATTCTTATGTAAAAAATTAATATATTAATCTATAAAAAAAATGTATTACTGAGACAATTAGAAATCATATATTTTACCGTACCATGCAACGTGTTGACAAGTTTCTAAGTTTTCAACTCTTCATTGGCAAATATTTTTTTTTATCATTTCCTGTGACACTAAAGATCTGTACATCCAGTGGCAGGGCCGTATCTAGGATTTCATTTTGGGGGGGGGGGGGGGGGGTGGGGTTGGGGGGGCGCACCCCCCCCCCCCCCCCCCCCCCCCCTAAATACGGCCTTGTCCAGTGGCGTATTGAGGGCAACCACCCCCCCCCCCTTAACACCACTGGGTACATCTCACCAAAATTATCTTAGGTTGCATGGAACAGCAAGAAAACCACGTACGGTGGCGATTTTTACTACATCAGGTGCACAAACACTGCATGCAAGTTTCACCACAGAGTAGAGATATTAGTCAATACTGAGAAACGACAGAGGATTTTTCCGAGTAGTTCAGAACTGAGCGATCTTCCCAGCGTAACTTTGTTGTAGCTAGATGATGCAGCGAAATGGTTGTGTGGGAACAGGAAAGAGCAGAGAGCCATTGCGAAACGTAAATTTAAAATGTAATGAGTCCAGTGGACTCCCCTTGCCCGTTCACGTCAGGAAAGTGTTTATGAATTTTTGCACATGCAAAAAAAATACAAAAAAAAATCGGACATGGCAACATGCACCAATTAAATTACATATTAAATTAATAATACTTCTCTCGTGAATATGCATCGAAATAAGACATAAAATATAAGTCAGTGAGTCCAATGGACTCTCCTTGCCAGGATAAGGGTTAAGTAGATTGTTTTGAAAACAAACATGTTTGTGCTATAGGTAAATGCTGTGGGATGCTAGATCCAGTACTTTTATAGAATCCTTATGGAAAATGTTAACATGGCCTTTAAGGAATGAAATTTTTTTAATCATCACATTGCAATGATATAATATTTAAAATTCATTTCAAGAAACATCCATTGGCAGAGGGGATGCAACAAGAACCTTACAACAGTTTTTTTGTTTTTCACTTGACTCAGACACCTGTGCAAGGGATCTCCTCATGCACGAGTGTCTGAGTCGAGTAAAAAATTGCCTAACTCAAGTGAAAACACTAACAGCTGTTCTTAAAGGTTATTGATGGCTTTGGTGGGGACACATGCCTAAGGCCGGCCCTCCCCATTCCAATCACGGACGAGAGGTGACGTTCTGGGCGATAGATCGATGTTTTCATAGCAGCCAACGTGACGCCCCTAAAAAAAAAGTATAACGTGCATTCCCAATATTTGAAGAAGTACATATGTATTTCATATAATAGTACTTCGGTCTTGAACAACGCGTCAAAATCAGCATCAACACCGGTACCGCCCGATGGCTATGATATGATAATCGGCCAAATGTGACCACCGGTACAGCCCTATTTACGTCTCCTCTGTTCCTATACAGTCGACGCTCGATATAACGAATTCGAAGGGACAGGCTAAAAAAAAATTCGTTATAGGGTAAGCACCCCGGTTGCTGGCCGGTCCCCAGTTGTTGGCCATTGAGGCTTATATCCAGCATAATTAGTTAATCTGGCCGTTTTCAAGCATTCTATCAACATCTTCCCAGACGAGGACCTATCACTAGTGTTTCCCGGTGTGCGCACAGGGTGTCCACTTCTTATGGGAGTCTTATCAGCGTGGCCAAAAACTGGGGTGTTTACCCTATAGAGGTTAAACCTCATTCTTGAAGACATAGTCTGAAGTTGTAATAATGGTGGACTTGAAGCCTAGCCACCTATAGGAGAGCATCAATAAACTTGAACCTTCAATGATTCCAGTTTTTTCACCACCAGCGTTCTCACCCTCTAACCTCCTCCGACCTTACAGCCTCCACAGTGGCCTTCGTTTAACCCTTTCGTGCACGATGAGGATTGAAGCAGTGGAAATGAATGGACACGTGTCTTCATTATTACAAAACTGTATGGCCCAAGAGGCAAAATTAGCACAGGGTGGTGGGAAAGATATCACAATGTCATCATTATACACATTTGGCACATCATCTTGAGCTTAAAGAGAAAAACAGATTCATTGGATTAATGAGAAGTATTCAGTTCTGAGCACCTCCAATCACTGCTGAATGCCAATGATGTCAACACGCTTTGGAACATAAAGCCTATCTGCATGAAATTTAGGGGACCTTCTCTATCTCAGAAAACAGAAGTTGAAACAAAACAGAATCCTTCCATCACATTCGGACTTGAGATCAATTCAAAATCTTGAGGATGGGGCTAAACGCGTGGGAATACATCACAGAAAAACAAAAGGAATAAATAAAACTTTGTGCAATGGAATGCGAACTCAATCAGATTCCTTCTCTTGATATACTATCCTACAATGATGTTGAAATCACTCCCAAATAAATATAAATTCTTTCCTTCATGATGAAGCATTCGGTGAGAAAATTCGGTACTGACTCCGCTACAAAGTCCCGAAAGTATTGTGCAACAACGTCACAGATGAATGCGTCCCAGAGTCAAATAAACAACTAGAGTGGGGTCGTGGGTCACCGATGCGAGATCCCATACATGCGGGTGACCTGAGGGGAATGAGTGGAAGCAGCGGCCAGCAGGAGCGGGACGTCGGCCACCTCCACCTTCAGCATTCGAGTCACTCGCCCCATGTCTGAGAATTTATCCGCCAGCAAGTAATCTGCCAGGGTCCGGCTACGCAGGTAAATCTCACGCAGCCCAGCCTCCAGGTACTCCAAACACTGAAGACGAAAAAAACAAAAACTTTTCTTCACTCATCCGAACGTAGGATATAGAAGAAGAAAAAAAAAAAACTAGGTAAGCCAAGTCCAGCACGGGACCTCCCGTGACCGAAGAGGCTTCACTTGAACTCGTTTGAAAATAACATTCCATTCTGAATCTCGACCTCATTGAATTCCTTTCTCGATCGGGTTTTGCTAGCTTAGCCTTCAAAGACTGCCCTATTATTGTGAAATGCATTTAAAAACATTTTGTCTTTATGTGCGATGTCCGATCGTGATTCATTAATTACTCATTAAAGGTAGCAAGAATTGGCAATTATCAATAAATACAAACATCAATCTATTCATGCAGCCAATTTCTCTCAGCAACAACTTCTTATTTTTTACCTCGAAATAAAACGCTCCATGATTAACATCCCGTAGTCTCGAACCCAGAAAACCGTCCACTGACTTAAGTCTCGCCTAACTGAAGAAGAAAAAATCGTGACGTGAAACGAAACGAAGAAGCCGCCTGCAGGCGAACTCAAGGACCAGTTGGAACAGAAAATAATTACAATTCTCGATGGGTTCGTCCCAACGCCTCTGGTACATTGATGGATACCAAGAACTTGATAAGCACTGGTCACATGAGAATATTTGATAAAGAATCACGCGAAGCACTTCATGAAATAGATAGGCATGAGTAACACGATACATTAAAAATGACCAAGTTTGATGTTGAGCACTTCAGTCGTCAACGAAATAGCACCCTCGGGTGACACCGCCACAAGGCTAAGCACTGGTGCTTGATAGCGTAGATAAGACTTTTAAATAGAAAGCCTCCAGATTCTACCAGTGCGAAGTACAGGGACTGGCGATCAATGGGTTCATCCAACACCATCCTCGAATCAGTAATACTTTAGCAAGATCACATTTTCCACTGCCGAATTCCATTCTTCAGATATGGAGAGAAAGATTCCAAGAAATATGGATGGATGGAAAGGAAAGGGCGGCGTGGGAAACTGAAGGAACGCGGAATGCGAAATCTCGTGCCCAAGGACTGAACTACAACAGGGTCGGCCAAAGCACGTCTGCCTCTTCCGCTTGCCCTCGTAGGCAACGATCAATCACATCCTCTATGCGACACCTTTCCTAGTTTTCACTAGACCTTTGGGATGCGATGCTAGATTATACAAGAATTAGCTTCATTCCCCCTTGATTTTGAAAGTCGCCGCCGTCACCCAAAGGTATGCTCATCCTTTGAGGCACAAGGGCATGAAAATGAGGTGGGAGAGATGGGGAAGGATTGAAGGGGAAGAGGAGGGATGAGGAAGGGTTTCTTCACAATACGAAAAAATTTAAGCTCACTCTTTCACAATTGCAACCTCTCTGACTGCCAAGTTCAGATACTGACGTGGAATGCAGCCGTACTTTACAGAGGCAAAGGACATAGGAAAATGCAATATGCATAGAAAGCCCGTGTGTCCTCTTCTCCCCTCCCTTACTTTTCCCCTACCGATGGAAGAAATGATTAACAGATCCTCATTTTCATGTTCCAAAACACGCCACCCAAAATTCAAAGAATCTGGATTTCTAAAGTTCCTACTGCGGCCATGGGAACATCTGGTTATGCAGTTTCAACTGTGGCAATCATCTCAGACATCAATGGGCGCGGTAGCGCCCATTACCTTTCTTCAACCCCTACCGACGAAAAAATTCAACCGTCTCGTATTCCTCTCTGAAAGCATCGGCATGAATGAAATTTGGCATACTTCTTCCTCTTTCAACACAGAATCACCCCAACAAATTTGAAGCTCCATCTCCCTGGGGTTGTGGAGATCACTGAATCTCGCTTTAGGGAGATGTGAAAGTCGTTCCGGTATTTTTTTTCTCCCCCCCTGGATAGCCGCTCCTGGGAAGTTTTTGGAGGAAAGAGACCAACCGAACGAAAGATATTGACCTGGAGGTGACAAAAAGTCTCTTTTTTTGTTTCAGTGCACCATTGTCGGTTAGGCCTAGGCCTAACGTTAGTGAGTTCCATAGAGAAGGTGGGGGGGGGGGGGGGGGGGGGGGGGGGGGGGGGGAAAGGTAAACCATTGAAATTGGTTTTCACATTACTACATTGGATTCTTCGTTATAAGTCCTGTGAACAAGCTGGCTACAGTTTCCCGAATGAGAAATTGCCTCTTGATATCTCGCCGATGCAGAATTAGATTTACTTTTGTTATTGCAATTTGTGCCTGTGCCTTCCTGTTTTATTTTTATAGCAGTTTCTCTATCTCATACAAAGGCAAGCTTCGGCAAAAGCTTTTCTTTCTTCGGCTGGCACTGCCAAGTTCGAAGGCAAAAGATGACTCATCTAAGTTTCAATATGTCATTCAAGATGCCATCGGTTCCCATCTTAGCCATTCAGAAGTCTACGGTCCTAGGAAAAAATTTTTAAAGCAAAATTGCGCTCACTCGTCATGGCTTGTGCTTACGTACCACGTATGGCTAACCTGGATGAAACATACAATAAGGACACTCTTCAGATTTAGGTCTAAAATACCCACATTCTCCTAAACTGAAGAGAGAATATTTCGCAACAGTGAGAAAGACGCTCCTAAAACAGTTTGAAAATAGTCCGGCTAACCTCCGGAAAGAGGTAATTTAGGCATATGCTGGGTAGGGCCAGAGCGACCTCTCACTTCCCCATACCCACTCACATGCATCCAGGTCGAGTAAAAGGACGAAATACAGCTTGTGTGACCTTGACCTACACGCACATATGGGGTGTAACTTGACGAGGGAAACGTACACTGCCATGAAAACGGAAAGGAATCCCCATCCCTATTGCACTTCATATACCTCTCATCTTTTTCACGACTCTAGATGAGAAACAGGAAAAATATTATCTTGGGTCTTGATCCCATGGATTATACCGATTCGTCAGCCCCCCCCCCCAAACCCCAATGAAGAAAACCTTTCAATGCCTCCAATGAAAATTTCGTTTAAAATATTAGCATTCAAGAGCCCTATCGATGTTTCCATGCACATCCTCACAAGCCAACCTAGGTTTAAGTCTGGTAATAAAAATAAATAAATAAAAAGATCTTACTTTTTGTACTTTAAGGAGGAAAAGCTAGTTTGAGAAGTAAATACCTTGTTATACAGTACTTGATCAAGCATATGACCTAATGTTATGCAAAAAAGAGAGACGAATTATGTATTAGGAGAGCAAATGTGTCCTACCTATGAAGTAAAGATCGTTAAGAGCTAGGGTAGTTACAATTTTGCACTTATGACACCGTCAGGAGAACTCCTGAAAACATGAAACATCTATCGAAATTATATAAATGTGATGAATGATGCAGCAGAGCACAACTTAGTGCTCTTCCACGAGAAGGTTACCATCCTCATCGGCATGAATGGCTCGATAAAGAGCCTGAGAACATCAGTTCAGTTTTGTCTCTGAGTCTTCGAGCCCAATGGCAATTTCAAGGAGCAAATAATGACGTTTTTGATTCGGATGACCGTGAAATCTATATACACGAAAAAATTAAATCATGACACGTTACCTCGTGGGTTGACTCGAGAAAGGAGGAACGATGTTGTCTGATGTGTGATTCATTTCAATTACTCGTTTTTGGGAGTTGCTTCCTTCAGTGAAAGGCGAATGACCTATCATTATCTTAACAGACAGGGATTAAATAATTATTTATGTCAACTTTCAGCCACACGGATATACAGTATCAGCAAGGCTACAGCGTAGTTTCTTGGAACTTGCCACTCAGGACAAAGAACATTTTATCCGAAATTAGCAATCGCGTCGGACATGCTCTATTCTAATTGTACCATATAACACGGGTCATTTTCCTTCTCAGACTAATTACTTTTTATTATCAGGGAAGTACAAGGTATTCGCCGTTATCGCCTCCCTCTTCTCATACGGAAACGCGCGTATCATCCGTCGGCGTAGTATGGGACGCCATTTATTCACATGACGTAGGCCTTTGACTGTTGCGCAGCTGACAAGGAAACTGAGAGAAAGTCAAGGATTTCTTTTCTCTGTGCAGGTCATTCCGGCTTACGAATAAGAATATATACTGTTCCTCGAAAAACCAAGGGGAAAAAAACATTGACGGAATTCTTTCCCAGTGAAAAATAAAGTTAAGAGGTCCAGATACTTTGACGGATAACAAACTAGGAAGTGATGAGAGCGTGTACCAAAGGCGAGAGTATCAACACAAAGAACAGGAAGGGCAGAGATAACGACGAGCGCTCCGTTTCCATGCAGATATGTGGAATTCCCAGGTTCCCAACTCTTGTGGCATTTCCGTTTTCCTTCGACCGGAAAAGTGCATTTATACAGCACGACGCGCCTCTTTAAACAGACCACAATAATCTGTTTAACCCTTTCGCTGCGCGAATTTTAGGAGGTACAATCTTGGTACAGTGTTATTTTTCAGTCAGTTTGTCAATAATCTTAAAATTATCCCAAAATTTGTTTCATAATTTCTTTAATATTTATTGAAAAAAATCCTTTGTTCAGTTCCAAAAAATTGCTGTACATCTTTTGAATAAAAAAAGCTATCTTGATTTGAAACATTACTGTCACAAATCTCGAATTTCCTCCTGTTCCGCTTACAGAGCAACGAGTGATGTAGGTTACTTTGATTCTACTGCCAATGGCATTTTTTTCTGTATATTTTTTCTCAAAATTTCCATACAAGATGGTATTATCATACAAGTATTATGATAATCATAGAACATATAAGTTGGTCGAAAACGCTTCTCGTAGTGAAAAGAATATGGCGCGGAGGATAATAGTCGCTTCTTGCAACCAGTGGTAATAGAACCGCGGGCAACTGAAATCGCTCTTCGCAGCGAAAGAGTTAAAGCGATTCACACTGGCTCGTCATAGAATCGACATAACACGATGTGGTAGAACTCCTCATAGACTCCGCGGCGTTTCGTCCTGGTCGTTATGGGAGCAGCAACGAACTGTGAAGATGGACGTAATAATCTCTGAATCCACGCCAGCGCTTCAAGTTTTACCGCATTTCCTGGTGATGACATAAGCCGATAACGGCGAGATTGGAGTGCAGACGGAATCGTAAGACCTGTAGTAATTTAGCTACGATACGATACGGTACCAGAAGCAAGAAGCTCTCGGAAACTGACTCTGGAATATCAACTAACCCACCCTCCCATCTTGAACCATACGCAGAAAATGAGGAAATTCACAAACTCCAACAGTTGAAATATACAGTATAAAATATAAAAAAGACGCCAAAATTCACAGTGCTGATGGGTGGGAGTGACAGACCTGCTGGGCAGGGACTCGAGCCTTCCAAAGCTGCTGCAATGAATCAAGGATGGCGGCAACCAGTGGAGACAGGCTCTGCTTTGATCCCACCTGGCCTCCTTCCCAACTCCCACTGTTGCTCCTCATTACCTCCACACTCCTACCCCCATGTCGTAGGGAAAAAGGCATAGATCAGACATTGGAACTGCTTGGATGGGGGAGTGGGGTTCAATTATGTCGACCAACTGCAAATAAAAACTGCATTTTTGATTTCTTTGAATCTTGAATATGCTTTCAAAAGTGCAAGAAACAGACAACTGCACTTCATCAAGTACATGATTTCCCTTTCAATCAGATTCATGAAAAGCTGTTTCAGGGTTGATTCACCTGAAAGGGTGGCTAAATATTTACATACTGAGTGTCTGAAATTAAGTGCAACATAAGGATCATCCAGCTGCCAGCCCAAGGAGACAAGTTCTATCTCATAAGTGTCACCTGGCTGCAAAACTTTAACCACTTACATTGGCAGATGCAACTAAACTAAGGAAACACACACAAAATGTATTACTTTTTAAATAAAAATGTTTAACTTAAAAAAATAATCAAGTGACTTTTTTCATCAATTGAAACTAATTTTAAAAATCACAAAACTTCATAAGTTTTGCAAAAATCAAATCCCTATCTCATTTTACATATTTCTCAACATTTCTGGGCTTTGTTTGGTAGTCTAGCTGACAAAAACCAAAAAAATATCCCATGGAAAGAATGTTAATGGGCACAGACACAAAACTGGCATTGCAAACAAATCATCATATAGCTGGGATTGATATGATAAAGACAACAAGGATCCAGAAACATTCATATGTGAAGCTAAGAAAATGATTGGAATTGATGACTCCAAATTTAGTCATTGGGGGTGAAAAGGGTAAGGACAGACACAATGATGCATGAAAATTAAGAACAAAACTGAGTCTTCTGATTATTGCCATGGGGCATTTGAAGAACCTTGGACAGGCTCCATAAGCTGGATGCTCCCTATATTGCAGTTAGAGATGAACACCTAACATATCTAACAATACCAGCTAAACAGATCTGTACACTCTGACTAACCAATTGGAAGTGTTTCCCAGAATGCAGACAGCTTCAGCAATTCCATCTGGAGCACCATAGCACTGAGATGTAGCAAGAAGATCCCGCTTGAGAGAACTCTCCCATCCGGTGACCTGGGTGGTCCCTGACACTGCTCCACCTGACACAAATCGTTCTGTGACATCCAGGAAAAGTGACAGCACAGGCATCCATGGAGGACTTGAGTTGCGACCCACATAATTTACATCAGGGATAGGGACCTTTTGGGCTTTCTCACAGAAATCTGTCCATGACAGATGGGTAGGATAAGCCTCCACATGAGGTCTTTCTAGTTCTTTGGGCTGGCAAATGTTGGAGGAATTCAAAGTTTCTGACCTAGTATTCACTTGGGATTCATCCTTTGTACATGAACAACAAACTGGCACGGGAATTCGGCAACAGCAAGACTGGGACTGGTCCAAGTTTTTTGGGAGAACTGACAGGCCAGTACTGCCAGAGACAGTACAAGACATGGGAACATCTGTATGTCCAGATGGCACCACAGGAATGTTCAAAATTGCTGGAGATGACTTGAAGGCATTTTCCAATGCAGCAGATGACACATGCTTGGCTTCTTCTATGCGAATTTCAGGTACTTCATGAAGCTTTAATATAACTCCATTTTCAACATTGGATGTTCCAGCATGTTTCTTGGCCTTGTGCTGCCGTCGAACCAATTCAAGTCTTTCATTCTCTCCAAGGACAAACACGACTTTCTGATTTTTATCTGGAGGTATTTGGATCTTGTTTGCTTCCATCTGATCCAGGAGGGATGAAGAGAGGGACAGCTTTGGATAAATATCACAGACAGGATCAAATGCACTCTCCACTTCTACCTTTTCTGATTTGGTAACAATGGTGTAGTCAGCCGATCTATGTCTCATGTGCCTTGACTGACCATTGACACGACAGAGCCGCTGGACCCTCTCAGCAATACTGCCAGGGTCCAAGCTGTCCTCCACTTCCTCCAGCCTGGGATACAACCTTGCATTTGAGACTGTCCTTCTCAGACTAGCAGCATTGTCTGTGCTGTCTGTCTTGATTAATGTGCTGGTGCTACTGATAGTTCTTACAGAGAGAGCACTGGGAGAGGGCTTGAGCTGAACACGCTCATAGATGTGCTCAGAGACTGCCTCACAACGCACAAAGTAGGTCAGAAGGTAAACAATACGTTGCACGAGGGTTACAATATGTCCAATCACAAGGGTGCGGGCATGTCGTGGGGGAAACCCACAGATCCCATGAAGGTCTTCCATTTGTGATAACACAGGATTTGGATCATTTTGAATCTTCGGACTGAAGCCTAACACCCAACCCAAGTGATGAGTCAAGACAGCTGACAAGAGTGTGCTGACAAAGAAATTGGTTTCTTTGACATCATAACGAGCAAGGATGTCACCCAGTTCCTGCATGAACCCTGATGGGAAGGCAGAGGGATCCTGATGGAGAAGGACCCAAAGTGGCCGAGAGATGCGAGGTGCAGTGTAGAGGTCTGCCAGGGCATGAATGAGCTCATTCACCCCTTCATACATTGAGTGAACAAATGTGGTTGAATGTGAATATGCCCGCTCAACGCATAACTGTAGCTTCATCACCAGACATTCAATGGCTGGCAGGTTTGTGTAGAAGAACCGCTCAAAGTGCCTACAAGTCCAGAAAGAATATAAAAAATTAAAGCCTATTTTAAATTTTCAGAAACGTATAGGCAAATACACATGTTTTGGAATAAAAAGAAAATAAGCATGTTCTTTAAAATCAAAGATTGTTCATCCTGATAATTGAGGGGATTTTTCAAGAACAAGAGAGAAGTCATTTACACTGTTTCCAGATTGAATTTGTACCACCCCCTATAGTGGGGAATGGAGAAAACAAATTTCCAGACATTCCACCTAATCAGGTGATAGATGTAACCACCCATTTGTAAGATGTCACTCTCTGCAATCAACGGAAGCGCTCTTATGGGGGGTACGAATTCAATCCGGAAACAGAGTATGAATCTTGAACATACCAACACAAAGATTTGGGCTGAACAGCCTTGATAGTGCTTCTTTTTATTTTATTGTTGACCATGAATTAGATTCAATATGAGTTTTTTTCACTTGAGCTGCCATTTGCTACTTTCATTCATTAGTCTGTTGCTGACATTAACCACCTTCCATCTCACTCTGCCAGCATCAGAAAAATGAAATATTCATTTCTGGATAAGCAGTTGAGACTCATGCTATGCAAAATATTTTCTTTTGCATTCCCATGTGAATAATCCTATAGGAATGAAAAATGCAACGGAAAATCTGTTGTCATTGCCATTGCAGGGCATTGATTCTCATTAGGCTACAACTCACTCTCTTGCTGGTCCATCTTGATCAAGGGAGATGACAAGAGATATTGCAAGTCGAGAGAGGCGACCCAATCCTGATCCACTGGTATCTAGGCCGTTGTCACTTGCCATTGAGTCTTGGGTATCTCGGCGGACCATAGGATGTCCTCCATCGGTCCCGTGGTCCATGGATGTCCGCATGTGACGCCACAGCCGCCGATTCACCATCCAGCTCTGCAGAGACTCACTGCTCCAGCTTGCACATGACCCTGACAAACAGAATGCATGTCAGGGCTGTAATTACATTTTATTAATACTGGTCATCTTCGGCATTATTGGTCGATAGCATGAAATCTATTAAATGAGATAATAACATATAAATTCATTGAAGCAGAACTTTCACATATAGAGTAGCAGACAAAATTTCCATTGTAAAATAAGTTGAGCTAAGAACATTGCAAAAAATAGATTTGATTGCTGCTTGGTTTAAATACATCAGCTGACACTCCAGTTAAAAAGTTAATTTTACATACTAGATTGCAATAATCTAAAGCTACAGTATTTACTCAGAATCGTTTTCAAGCAGAATTTAAATATATGGAGCAGACACACCTGTTACCTATTTTAACCATTCCACTCCATTTTTCTGCGACCAATGGCGAACCCAGTTTAACAAAGGAGTGGAAAAGGTTAAGAGCACCATAACAATAATACCATAATATTTTATTACAGCCTACCGTTAATGGATGAAAGACTGCTTTCTGTTGATGCAGAGAGGCTTGGTGGCCCAATGCTGCTCCCATGGCTACTGCTCATATCCCCAGACAAGCTTGGTCCTGGAAGAGAACCAAACCATAATACATGGCACACCTTCACATTCACTGGATATTTGTATTTGTATTTTTTTAAATTGGTCAAATACTTCAAAACATAACAAGCACAAGTGAACTGACCCATGCAACTGTCTACACTGCTCACTCGGGACAAACCACCATTGGCAAAGGACCCAATTGAGCTTGTGCAGGAATTCTCTACACTCCAATCACTGGATTCAACAGATTAAAAATGGGATTCAAGCAAATCATATACACATAGTAGCATTGACTCGTCACAAGATGATGTTGAAGCAAGAGAACAAACCTGCTTGAGCGCAACTCCTTGATCCTTCGTGGTGCAGGGAATATCTTGGAAAGCATCAACTGCGGGGGATCAGATCCTGGGTGGAGCTTCATGGTTGATCCTTTGTAGGCCATGGCAATTGATCCAAACACCATCTCGTACACTTGTCTCACATCTGAGATGGGCCTGAGGTACTAAGAAGACAGAAGTAAAAAATTACAACTTTCACGCAGTGTCAGAACCAAGGCAGCATTACAATGAGTCAACTTAACCCTACCTTTCCCTTTCAGCTTGACCATAAAATAGACCCAGGAAGCTGGGGAACTGTCATCTGACTGGAAGACAGTCAATATTGGTCTAACTCGAAAATAACAGGCCAAAGGTCCATACATAAATTTGTTTTAAGATCCCTGAGCACATTATTCACTCACTTAAAGTGATCAGCTAGATATGCTGTGCATACTCTCCTACAATCAAAACGGATTCCATAAAGTATATTCATGTATGACAAAACTCTGTACTGGCATGTGTGATCAGAAAAATGGATTGACATCATCACCCTTGACTTCACAAAAGTTTTTGATAGTGTCCCATGAAAGCATGGTCTTTCATTCTATTATCTCTGTGGGTCACTCCTTTCATGGATGAGGGATTTTCTAGTAAACTGCAGGTATAGTGTAGTAATGAATGGGACCATCACAAATTGAGTCTTAGTAAAGTCAGGAGTGCCACAAGGGTGCATTCTTGGGCCACTATTATCTATACTTTTCTCATGACATAGTTGAAAACAAAAGACTCTAAAATCCATCTATTTGCTAATGACTGAACCATATCTCATGAAATTCTCACTAAGGATGATATAGAATCCTTGATTTGCTTAAATGCAATCTAAGTAATGTTCCAAGGAAGCCAGGGTAGCAGCATATATGTCCTTGGTCCATCCCACTCCCAGAATAAGTTATACAATAGTAGTTGGTGACAAAAAAGTACAGGATCAAAGTCCTATGTTCAGTTGCACAATTTGCACTCAAAAGCTAAAATTGGGAGTTCAAATTCAGTGTTTCCTGATCATGCACTGGACTGGCAAACCCTGGCCAGTAGGTGTAAAAATGCTTGAATGGATCTGATTCACAAAATCATACATGGCAGACCACTACTTGATGCTCAAAGGTGTCTGACTGAAACCAGAACAAGACAAGGAGAGGACGTAGAGCTTGTCTCTACATTATATTCATCTAAGAACTTCCTTGTTTAAGCAATTTTTTTCATAGGATGGTTGTAGATTGCAATGCTCTTTCCCTCACAGTAAGATCCCTACCCATAGTAGAATTCTTTAAAGGCATCACTCTCTGAATTTTAATCTCCTACCTACCAGCTCATAGCTGCCTTTGCTGGTATTGCACTTTATTTCCAGATCTCTTCGAACTTGATATATTTTGGCATGCTATAAAAAATTTTCCAAATCCTCTCATTGAAGGTAAGAAGACCCTAGCTACCTCATGAGTATTACTAAACTTACTGAATTATAGTATTACTGAACTTCTTCCTCCCAATTTGACAAAAATTACATTTTCAGATTGCAAAAAAAGCAAGTGGGTAAGAGGGTATGCTCAATGGGATGTACAAATATGAAATTACTTAGCACGACAAGCTCATGCCAAAAGAGCAAGAAAAAATCACCTGGTATCCATAGCCATCCGTTACCTCCACAAAGCCATCTTGTTTGCCTGCTTTACATTTGGCTCCATGGCATTTTCCTTTCTGGTTGATGCCAAGGTGAGTCTCAGAAATGGGAACTCTCTGCACTGCCTGTGAGTCGTACAGAATTTTCTTGCGATTTGTCTCTGAGTCTCGTAACAACAGGACTCGAACTTGCTCTTCTCTGAACTCAGGTGACTCCCTGGAATGAGGACAATCCTTACTAATTCAAATTCATTGCAATGCTCTTCAAGATGTAACATGTAGTCTCATTATATGATATAGGAGGCCCAAGCCTATATAGTGCTTTCAGACTGACTTCAATTTCCCCTGTTTACAACAGTTTCATAGGAACCAGGCCTATCCTATGGAAATTGTACACAGATGGAGAGTATGACTCCAGCAGCCTTGAATCTATGGATATACAGAAGTATACTCTGAAAAATATATATTCTGATCAGTCATCTGCAGAGTAGGTCTATACTCAAACCAAGTATACCAAGTAACTGGTACAGTAGGCAATGGAGTTGAGAGTTCCAACCTATAGCATGTAACACCTTCAACTTTTTCTGAAATCACACAATTGAAATAAGACAATATGGGGTGGTAAAGGCATGCCTAGCCTGACAAGCCACAGAAGCCATTTCTCTGGTCTCTTCCTTTGTCTTGCAGAAAATTTCTGAAAATTGCTCTTTTGTGGATTTTGAGTTGAAAGAAGTCTATACATAGAAAAAATTGCAGCATCATGATTCACATCAATCATGTTGATTCTTTGAGAGCTCACAAAAACACACTACATGATCACAAAAGCAACTCCTTAGGGTATAGGCAATAATAAGTGCAATAATACTGCTACGACAATTTCACAAGCGGTCACAGGAAGGCTCCCCTCACCTGACATCAATTTTGATGAGACTCTTGGATGCTTTCTGGTCTTTCTTCCTATTGAATATCTTATTGAGCAGTGCCATTATTCAAACCCAGCTTCGTGGAGAAAGGGTTTCCACGCAGTTGATCGGAGTGGAACTGCGTGTGAAAGGCCTAAATCTACGTATCCTGGTTGGAAATCATATCTTGAATCGCATCCAAGGAAGTATACGGGAGAATGGAGCGTCAAAAGCTCGTGACCGGACTGCAGCAGAATGACACTGACACATGTTTTCGGGGGAAGACGAAGGAACGGCAGAAATAAGCCGAGGCCTAAGTCTGACAGGACCTACGAAGCCAGTGGGTCGGGGGACGGGGAGGGAGTGAGCGGTGATCACGTGCAGGCTCGGTGGTGACGTCCGGTCACATGCTGATTCCAATCGGCCCCATGCAGGGGCGGTGTCACACCACGAACTTGGTGGGACGGACAACTCGTGCATGCATGCACGCACGACTGAGGGACCTCTCTTTTTTACTTTCGCGTAATGACACGGCCATTCATTTACTTAGCTGCAATCTGGGAACCATTTTTGTTACAGTCGACTCCGCATAGTGGAGTATTCACGGAACTAGTGCATTTATTCGATAATCTGGGGTATTCTATTAACCGAAACGATCTTACTGTATCGTTACGCAAATTTGGATCGTACAATGGTATTTCATCAAGCGGAATCGATTTCAAAACTTTTTCTTGGAAAAGTCATGAAGGAGGGCATCCTTTCCCCCCCTCAGTCCCCTCTATAGCGACTCCCCTGTGATGGAAGATCCTCCGCAGAGAGGAAGCGAAGGCATTGCCCCCGCCCGCGCTTCTCCTGACATCTAGCGTCAACGATATTCTACTTCGTTTCTTTCTTTGCCGGACAGAGTGCGAGCTAAAATCGAGTGTGCTCATTCTACACGTGTTCGGCACCATTTTTGCCAAGCACAGGGGCTAATCCATCATGTTGATAATGTTATCAAATTAAGTGAGGAGAGCGGTCTTATGTACTCCCGTACTTCATTTCTTTGGTGACAATCTGGAATTGGGAAGCCTCGTGAGTTTGAGCATGGAATCCAAAAATATATTTTCCTTTCTCATGACTTCATCTGAACAGTGGTGTAGCCAGGGGGGATGATGTCAATAACATAAAACCACAGGAACATGACATCTATAGCCTAACATCCGAGACCCCAGTTGTTCGGGATGCAGAGGTATCTCGCCGTGGGATTCATCCTGAGGCCAGTATCCCCATATCGAGTAGCGAAAGGTCCTAATGAGAAGCTCCTTGTTTGGTATCGCTCGCTGTGCAAAATATCGGTTTGAGAGTCGGTTGGCGTCATGGACGAGGCATGCGCCTTCGTCAGTTTTGACCAGCGAAAGAAACGATATAAGCAAAATGCCTTTCTGGACCACGAACGAACGAAGGAAGAAAGTGGAGATTCGATTCGGTGGCCGTTCAATGCACAGGTCAGAACGACGGTTTAACTCAGCCAGTTTAATTACGGATTGGAAACTGTACTGATGAGTAATTGCAATGCTGCTTCTCCTGCGGTCTCGAGGTTTCCGTCTGCGGCGCCAGATGCAACAACGCCGCGAGACTTCCTTGTCGCCTCGATTTCTTCGTGAAATAGCGAGGCAAGTTTCAGAACTACAAAACTTTCTCTTGTCTTTCCCTGATCGATAATCCGCACAAAATGAAGCAAGAACGCAGACTCTGAAACGTGTGCTTTCCATTTCTTCGGCAATAACTCGGGCTTATTCAACTTCAATCCCCTAACAACAAGCTAATCACAACGGCACCGAAATGGAGATCCAATTATGACGCAATCATGACGTCACGAACGACATCATCGAAGTCACTCGGGTGTGTGACGTCATTGACGTGGGAGTGGCTCGGCCCACTTCATTTCTTTCCGGTGCGGTTATCTACAACTTTCCTGTTATGATACCATCGGAAGTTCGTTTGTAAACGCCGAAGATGTGTCTCACCGCGAGACCCCGGAAATCTCGCATTTGATTTTCATTTTATTTACAGGCGGAATACTGCACGGGGTCTTGAGTGACTCAACACAGACACTTTCACTTCGTGTTCGTTTCGTGGGTAGGAATGCACATGTCTAACTCAAGCCTCGTGATACTACGAGTGCGATGTTTACCTGTGGGGTACTGTCATGTTCTTCCGGTACTTATCCGCTTTAGACTTGGTTTGTACCAGATTGTACACATGCGTATGTTAGGGCTTGGCGAAGATACGAAAACAACTGCCTCACGTGATGACGTCATGACGTCCCTATTAAGAGTTTACGAGCGAATCAGCGGGCGCAGGCCGCTATGCCGGCTTTCTAATAGATTAAAAGTGTACCAAGGTTTTTATGGCCTATAATGACACAGCCTTGTAGGCCTTGCGTGTTTGGCCGCAGAAATGGGACAACCATTCAACGCCGCTTTTGGCCTCTTTCAATTTGTATTGGGTTGGAAAGAAAGTATTGCAACACTTTCTAAAACTATTTATGAAAATTTTCAAAGGAATGATGGGCGGGGCTTTGCATTTGTATATGCTGGAATTGCATTTCAATAAAGTTATAAAATTTTGAAAAATTTGCGCGGTGTTGCAAGACTTTCTTTCCAACCCAATATTACCTAGCCTATGGCCCAGAATGGCAGAGCCTTAAAGGCCGGGCGCTTTAGGCGGTGGATGACCTGGCATATGGCTTCATTACGTTGTTCATATTGTTACGGAGGGGAAGTGAGAGACGGACGGCATGAGAAGGCGAAAGAAGCCAAGGAACGGCCGGGAATTGAACCCGGACCTCCTGATTGCCGGTCAGGTGTGCTACCACTACACCACCGAACCCCGGACGTTCAGTCGAATCTCCCGATGCCATCCTCATCCGTCACAATATATAGGATGTGGAGCATTTCATCCTAATGCGCATCGATGAAATCTCGTGCCCCTGATGAGGGATGATAAATAATCGATTTAAATAAAACATTCCCGAGACTCGATGGGAACTAAATGCACAGAACCACATCCCTGTCAAGGGTTTCCTTCATAATCATGCATCGCCTCAGGAAGTGTTCCAAGAAGCACTTGAGCGTTTCCGCTATAGGGTGCGATAATGGGCGGGCCGGAAGAAACTGATATGAAGGAAGGTCCCAGGATGGAAGGAAACTGTGCGAGAAGGAAACTGTGCGAGAAGGAAACTGTGCGAGAAGGAAACTGTGCGTGAGACTGTGCGAGCGCCGGACGCGGCATCTGGTGCCCCAGCCCGGAACTATCAGTGGCGCTGCCGTGACCTTCTACGCTGTTTTAACTCATGCGACGGTCGATTCGCTACCTCTTCGTCCATTCCCAGGGCTGCCCCTTGGGGCCTTTTTTTTGGCACTATAGGAAGTAACTTGCTCCTTGTAGCCTGGCGACTTCCAAACACTTTCGGGATTCAAAAGCTGTTATTTGCCTTGGTGCTCGATGGAGGATAATTTTGGTATTGTAGACAATAACTTACACGAACCTTTAATAATTCGAATGATGGTTTCTTCATCCTCAAATAAGTCTTTGAAAAATACATATATAAACGAAAATAATTTCCATCTTCATCCCCAATAGTATCTCAAGATGGGTGGTAGACCTCTTCATCCATAAAAACAAAATGGGTTAGTGACTCTAACGCGAAACTTCGAATGGAATCATGTAATGACAGGAAGCGGACATTTACGGTTTAAGAGTGGGCTGCGACATGAAGAGGCACTTCTGCCCATATTGACATCCGGAGATAAGGTCGAGCACTTATTTTTAGTTCTACCCCTCGAAACATGTAATATATTTGGTGGAAAGGAGGAAGGAAAGAGAAGTCAAGCCAAGCGTAGATAAGGCGAATCGACCGAGTTCCTAAAAATTGCGACAAATTTTTTAGTTTTCGGAAAGTCATCCTTGATATGACGCTGGAGGAAGGGATAGAGCGTGAACGGAATAGACAAACTTCCTGTCTTGCTAGATCATCCTCTTCGAGCCCGTGGTAGGATCTCAATAGTTCTCTGCTTTTCTTCCAGGTTAGAAGAGTAGATAAGGTTGGGTCGAAAGCGAAGCCCCAAATAATGGCGGTTCTAGCCCTAGGGCAAATGACGTCACTGGTATACACCTACCCGACTGCTCCATTCTCGCCATTGGTTTTCCTCCGATGTGATGATATCATTTGGAGCATAACGTCCACATTTCGTAACCAATCGCTCTTTTAAAAAAATATCCCTTAAATTGAGGAAGGGAATGCATTGAATGGGAAAGAGGCGGGGAGGATTCCGTATGGAAAAGTTTGAGGGGAATGCGACTGTAGTGAGAATATATTGGTAGGTCACACCTCATACGATTACCCTATTACTAGTATTTACGGAAATTGTTAACATGTGTCATTTGCCCTTTTGAAATGGCAATGAAAATATGCGTTCATTGTCACACTTCTTCGTTCTGTGTTGCTCTATCCCAAAATCTGAGGAAAGGAGCTTGTTTGTCATGGTCAGAGCAAATCGCGTGATTTTCACGAACACCATGAAGATATTCCTTCTCACAAACTCCAACGAAAGACTACCGTTTCTTCCTCACCTTCTTGTCCTTGCTGAGCAACTCAGAATTTATGAAGAGAATCCAGGTTCTTACAAATATTCGGGATACTCGACGGTCGACTTGGAATTTTTATTGGATCATCTCGGCGAAAGATGACAGTCGACCCCAAAGGGTTGTTTTGGGGTCCCTCCCTCAGTCTACTTCAGGGATTTCATTTTCCGCGCGTTTGCACCGCATCACTTAGGTCAGTAACTATCCAGGTTCCTTTGAAACGATGAAAGGAATATTTCTCTCCGTCGGCTCCAAAATCAGATGTTCTTGCAGGCGGCGACTGCACATAGTACCGGCATCTGCGAATGCTATGATCCTGGCAGCACCACAATCTAGAGATGCAGTCATTTAAGCGCAATAGAATGGAGGTGCAAAGAGCAAGGTAATATGACAAATAAAAACTAGCCGATATGACATTTTTAACAGAGGAGAAATAGACTAGAAAAAGGAGATTTTATCAGTCAGCCGAGGAGAGTGTATCCCAGTGACGTCATTGGCTCTCGAGCCCCCCCGCTGGAATGTAGCCCAACCTTTCTACTCTTCTAACCTGGCTTTTCTTGCAATGAGACGCGATGTCTGAGTTTCTGGAGTCAGCCAACCAGTGTCTATTCACGGAGTTAAAGGAGGAGGACATGGCAGCACTGATGGATTCAGTATGGCGGCAGAGCTGGAGGAGAAGGGAATACAATGGAGCTAAAGGAGGAGGATATGGCGAATAAAGTTTTGGATTTGGAGAAGGGTTTTCCGTGGAGGAGGTGGGGAGACGAAAGAGCCGAAGGAAGGCTAACAATTCGGATGAGCATGGATTCGGGCTGGTAGGTGTGCATCAGGAGCCGTATTTCTCTTAACATGACTCCTTTTTCAGTCTCTCCATCACCCTAACCACAACAAATTCTAAATTCATTTTTCAGTTATGCTCTTCCACTGTACATTGCCTTCCCTCGCCTAACCTTTCCCCCTGATTACTCTTCATGTCCTACAGTGAGCCTACATAATTAAAGGGTATACTCTATGTTGGTTCTCTGGAGAAAGCCCAGCTCGTTCACCTTTTCAAAATTCTTCAGATTTCATTAAATGCGTCCATCATCCTGCATTGATTGCTGGGGAGCCCCTTTTCTCCTTGTCAAGCTTCAAATGGCTTTTGCATAACTTGATACTCGGAACATTACTAGGAAACGAGGCATGAGAATGCTGCATGTTTTCAATATAACAACACTCGTACAACAGCAATAGAAAATACTTTATTCGGAACTCTGGATTTACTATGGAGAAGTACCAGAAGATATATGGTGGGTCGTGACTTCCCTACACTCTTCCAGTTCTTCCGAGCGTCTCTTCCCTCTCAACAGATTCCAGTAAAAGTCAAGGAACACCATCAGAGCCTTCAGCGAAAAAAATGAATTAGCTAGTATTAGATCCACAACATCCATGCCCCGTAATTCGAAGTAAACGAAGGGTAAATGCTCACAGTCCCGAAGCAGATCCCAGCGAAGACGATGGCAGCCGTGGAGAAGTCGGAGACATCGTACAGGGCACCCGATATTGCTGGACCAACAGCTTCCCTGCATAAAGGGGAGAAAAAAATAATCGAAATACAATGGTATATGAAAGGCGATACATGGTAAAGTCGTTAGAGGACTCGAAGGACTTACCCAAGTGAAAACATGGAGTTCCACATGCCGGACATGAGACTCGCCGTCCCGATGTTATCATCGTATCCTGCGAGCCTGGATTCATACAAGAAGGAATCCGTGGTTACGACGTCACAGTTTGAAAGGAATTCTGGACACGTACCTGGCCTCCTCATTGATGATTCCAAATGTGGGAATGAGGGAGAAAGACAAACTGGCTCCAGTCAGGACGAGGGACCCGATGAGAAGCCCCAGTGACCTGATGCACCACAAATATCCAGATTAGTTGGAATCAGACGGATGAAAGATTATAATGAATGCAATTACTGTTTTGCATACTGGAATCACCTTGGAATGTGAAGAAAAGAGGCAGGCCCTAGAAGGAGAAAAGAGAAGGCGATAGCCAGGAAGGCGATTCCCAGCTGAGCCTTCCTCCATTTGGCGAAGTGATCGGCTATATAACCGGAAAGAATCCCGGTTACACCGTAAGAACCCGTGAAAACCAGGTACAGGAGGGCCGTGGTACTTTCGGTCATTCCGAACTGGGAAAATCACAATAGAACAAGACATCGGGTATGAAGTGATTCTGCAATTTCTATTTCCCTTCGAAGAAATGTTCCCTTTTCAAGCTGCGAGACAAATACGCGATTTAACAACACTTATTTTATGCATGTAGAGTTGTTGCCATACATGGAATAATAATTTGAGATTTTAAAATCAATGTTCCCTAAATAAAAAAAAATACTTTAAGTCCATGAATGCATACATTAGCTTAATTTGAGCATTTCTACGCCGATAGACGAGGGCTCAGCAATATTTTATCAACAACGTCCTGCACCGGTATTGATCCTAATATTGTATTCATTGAACTGACTTCGTCATTGCCAGAAGTACAATTCAACCGATTCAAACGACTACCAGACCCTGTGACACTTCATGACTCTGTTAGCCACACTTGGCTGAAATGGCAGTCAATGTGTCAAAGTCATAGCTATGAATTGTCCTTTCTTCGAAAACAGGTTTTCCAAGTCGAATGCGGTAATAAGAAAGTGAAATGCGACAAGGAAATTCAAATGCGTCGCGGTGCTGGACTTGAGAAAGAACATGTTATATTTAAGGAAAGTGAAATGCAACAGTCTTATCTCACGGCCCAAAGTATGTACCAGTTGGCACCTGATTTAATCTCTCATCTTATTTCACTCTGTAGGTGAAGGGTAATCCTGGCGATCGGAAATGTACGTTGTAATTCCTTCTACTGAAGAATTTGTTCTGCATTTTAAGGAGCGTGTATTTTGCATATTTTAAGACTTATAAGCACATGAAAATCCGCTCTCTAATTAGCATAACAAGGTTCCATAATTCAGTTTCAAAGCAAGTATCATTCAGGCTTACAGAGAGTACCACGGCAAAGAGATCTCTTGGCTGAGAATGTGACATTTGGAGTGCGGGTTGGGAATTCTCTCTGAAGAGGTTAAAACATTGAAGTGTAGATTATATATCAACAGAATCATCTGGAATAAAGGCCTTGATATTGTCGGGAAGATCCATCAATATGTATATAATGGTCTAAGGCATGGGACGACACAAGCCTAAATGGAATAAACCAAAATCACCTGATGGTAAAGCATCGAAACTGCATAAGGTCGATGTATTGATTCCACTCTTGGATGAACCAAGAGTAAATTCAAGACGAAACCCGATTTATTATCGTGCAGTTTCCTCGCATCTCCATTCATTACTCCTATCATTGACAAGAGTGATCGATGAAGGTCGTGAGACTCACAACGGCCTCCACGTGCGGTTGCAAGACGGGATAGAAGAAGGCGAAGGCCGAAGAGAGGACGATAATGGCGACGCAGACTACCCACGAGCCCATGTGAAAGAAGAATGGCTTCATCCGTGGAAGATCCACAGACTGAAAGTCTCTCACTGTACGAAAATCGCTATACTGAGTAAAGAGAGATTTCATTGATTTTATTTCTACCAACTGAACTTACGCGAACTGGAGGGGAGAGCCGGGAAAGCGAGCAGTGAAGCTATCATTTGAGTCATTCCCAACACGATGAACGGTAACTTGAATCCTCCCAGCTGGTTATGGAGAAAAGCATGATTAAGCGCTTAAGGGTGTATATATTTTTTTCGTGGTTGGATAGGCTAAAGAATCTCACGTTGAAGAAAATGCTACCGATTGGAGGGCCGATCGATAATCCGATTCCAATAAACATCTCTAGGATCGCCTGGAAGGCAGTATTACGATTTTCCATAACACATTCTTTGAAAGGGAAATAGCTACAACGATCACTTGGAATGTTGTTCTTACGAGAACAGTACCCATGGATTTGGGGAAGAAGTGGGCGACGAGGGCGAAGATGGTCGTGGCAAAGAACGCGTAACCAACCCCTTGAAGGATCCGAAGGAGGTAACATACAGTAACGAACCACATCCAGTCTTCTATCAAATCCACGAAACTGTTGAGGGAGAGACGAGGTTCCTTCATCCATTGCCCAATGTAACCACTATTATTGCATGGTTTGCATGCATAGTTCAACAGAACTCATCTGATATATGGTCAATACGCCCCTTTCTATTTTTTTTTAAAATCCTCTTTAATTACTTTATTCTTCACCTGGCTTCTTATTTGCCTGAATCGTGCTCCTCCTACTGCCTATGTACGAAACAGCTGGCAGAATGTTCAATCCTCTATTCCCTCCTTTTTCTTGAAATTGTATTCTTCACATTTCATATTTGTGTTATTTGCACAAAAGTACTGTGTAACCTAATAGCTGTCGATAACATCGAGCCATTTATCCATCTTTCTTCGAGTAATACTTACGTTATTATTTCCGTGAAAAAAATTTTAGGAGCAAAATGAAAGGTTGGTTATGGTTTCACCTTCCCCACCCCTCCACCCTCACCTCTTCCCCCCCATGCTTTTCCCCTCCTCTTTTTCCCTAAACTCCCAAATTCCACAGGTAACAGCCATCGCAAAAACACAATAAGGATCCTTAAGAACATCAAACGTACACAGCATAAGTCTGTTTTTGAACCTAACTTTGCCCGAAACTCTCCTATCCACCACAGACAGGTAAATTCGAGATTGAGCGGGGAAACCCAGGTGAGAAGAGCAAGTAAGATTGAGTCCCAGATGAGAGTCGACCCAGCAGGACCATCAGGTCAGGGGTTCACGTCACTGGTATACAACTGCATCGTACTCTTCTGTGTTGGCTGGAAGGATACTGAGGGATTTACGTTCAGTCTTTCGATGACTTTTTCTTGAGTAGAACAGAAAATAGAGACTCGCGAAAAATTATCTCATCTTCCTGAAAAGACGAGAGAAGTACAAAAGATTTTATTAATATTACTTTTCAAAATACGTTTATTTGTTTACTGATTTAGAACTTTTTTTTAAATCAGAGGTCGTGGGTATGCTGCAACATATGCTCCAAACATATGCTCCAATGATTTTTGTATTTGATACGATACCCCCAGCAAAAAGTTTCAGCTAGAAATAGTAAGCTTTCCATCTGTAAATGTGAGCCACTTCCAGCAGAAACGGCAGCATTTCCAACAATACTATTTGTAAATTGGTATGCTGTTTCCAGCTGGAATTTAACGCTGTATTCTGCCGGTTCTATGCTTTTCCAGTAGGAAAATCGAATACTTTCTAATTTCCAATAGAAACCAGTGACGTTCCCTGCACGGCAATCCACCTGCCAGAAAAAGTCCATCACAAACCGAGAAAAACCAGTAAAATTTCCGGCTGGAACTTTTTGCTGGGTCGACACTCGACAGGGATGCCGGAAAGACAGCAAGGACGCGTGGGTCTCTTCCTTGGCTGGTTCTCCAGGTCCCCGTATCCTCCTAAGATCAGTGTGGCATGTACGGTACACGTGCCCAATCCTATGGGTTATATATATTTTTCTGGGTCTGAGGAGATTAAGGATAATTTTTTGCTTTTGTGGGTAAGGGTCGGGTCGAGCCTCAAAAGCTCCACCCGACTCATCTCTTCTTCAGACAAATACCCTATTCGTATTTTCCTACACGGGGAAAAGGTGATACTCCTCATTCTCCTCGCGCCCTTGCTTTGGGAACGAATCTGTCAAAAGACGAATAATTTTGCTTCATTCCACCATTATTGTCAATTTGACGATTGCCATGGGCACAATGGTCTCAAAATGTGCTTTTAAATCTCTTCATCCTTAATGCTCCTTCTTCCACTCCATACTTTTCCTTTCGCTATATGAAGCGTCTTTTTGCAAGATTGCTTACACAGACTGCACATTCTGCTTCAATTGACTACATGAACCATAAATGGAAGAATGAAGACACGAGTGAATGTGAGTCAAGGAGTATATCAGTATCGCGAGAGGATCGAAGGCAAGGACCGCCATTATTCGGGGCTTTCAACCCAATTTTATCTAAGGTAGAAGCGCCAGTTCGTTGACGGGCTTGTGAATGAGCAAAATCGTCCTCAAATAGGCGGCAGTCTACGATCTGGCGCCTCTACTCTGCTTTTCTAACCTGGGATGAAACGACGCCAAAAGGCATGGAAATGAAGGATAAGATCGACATAGATGAACGATATAGACGAACCCGAATAGGAGACAGGTGACCCCTAAGAGGGAAGTTCCAGCCACGATCGCCCTCCTCAGGCCGATTCGAGGGAGCTGAAACAATTTCTCGTGAAATGTACCGATTGGTTTGTGCTTTGCCAAAATTATCTGATACACAAATTGTAATTGTACTGTACAAATTTGCCGATAAGAGGTCCAAAAGCAAAGGCAACCAGTGAGAAGACTCCGAAGATTTGACCCGTCACCGTATCGCTGACACCTTTTCGCCTTGCCTATAAAAATAAGCGACTTCGTCCATTGCGTCTATTCAATCATACATGCCGTGCGATTCCTAAGGCGCTGGGAATTGCATATACATACAGCGGCGGGGAAGAAGGGAGCCATGATCGAGACGCAAGCGAACCCAAAAAAATCCACGAAACCAAAATAGAGGATGAGGCCTCGTTCCCTCCACGAGATATTTCTGCATAATTGCAGGCATCCCGTCCCCGTCTCTTCCTTCTCCGGCTCTCCGCCGACTGCAGTCGTGAAATTAAGGAATTTCGAATATTGATTTCATTTGCCCGAGAGGATGAGGTGACTCACCGGATTTTTGTTCGGTTCCTTCCTTCGCCATGGCTCACAGAAGAAAAGGCAGTTTTGAAACGGCCCCTTCACACCCTCTCGTTCGGACGCGCGATTCCTATCTCGCCTTCTTCAAAGGGATCTGGCATTTGCGATTCAGGGTCATCACATCCGCCCCGATCTGATTTCATCGGATTCTAGAGGAGGAATTTCGAGGAACGGCCGGGAACGGCACGAAAGTCGGGTCCACGAGGCCATGCTGCTCCCACCACGCCAACCCCAGTGATCGATCTTCTACGCGCATGCGCAATTCCAACGAATGCGTTGTGGATGTCGACTTGAAGCTGCCATGCGCAGTGGGGACGGATGCGCCTACGAGTGAAGTTGTCGAAACTCCTGAAATCGACGGGTTGCCTTCGATCGTCATAAAGAAAACTCGACGGCAATTCGATCATCCTCCTCTCTAGGGGAAAGTTAAGATGAAACTTCAGAATAAGCAAGATCATCCAACGTGTTTTAAACGGGAGTTCCATAGAAAGCGTAAATTTGAGTTACATCAGTCCATCTCGACAGGGAAGTACTGGGGGATAGTTAATAGCAATACATCAGAAGAAATTACAAATTGCAAAACAATTCAGAAAGTACACATGCTGATTGAGTATTGAACTGAGACTGTCTTGGAGGTCGTCAAATCCTCGCGGAATTTCCGGTGCATAAAAATGTGAAGGAGAGAGCAACGAAAAGTCTGAAGGTCAACGGCAAAAAGTTTCTTTTCGCATACATACCATATGCATGCTAAAATGGTCGTTGAAAGTTCGAAGTGCTGGCTTTTGCATGGTGAACACTTATCTAGCAACAGTACCAGAACGTCATTGTCATCGGCTTCATGAAGTCTTAAAGGATTATCTCTCTGGTATGCGGATTGGAGATTGGAGTGGAACAACGGAAAGTTCTTCTAAACAATGTTTCGATGAAGTAGTGTGCAAACCATTTTCAAAGGCTTTTCTCCTTTCTTCACCCATTTCTCCCTCCTCTTTATATGGGGTTCACTAACAGGAGGAGGGGGGGGGGGGGGGGGGTAGATAGGAACTTGAGAACCGCCCCCCCCCCCTATGAAAAATTTCTGTATTCATCCCTGGGTCTAGACCAACCCTTCTTCGTTCGAAAGAATCTCAACCCTCGATTTTCAGAGGCGATTTATTTCTTATTTCCATATCCTGGGGTCTTCGAGACAACTCGATAAGGACATGTAACGTTAGGCCCGTTGCAGGCCTATTCCGACTTTCACAAACGACTTCAGAGGACATGTGATGTCGTTACACGTCCACTGCATAGATGATCAGCCTGTTTTGGAAGTGTAACGTTAGGTCTATCTGGAGTTTCTCGAACCGTCTCGACTAGGTCTGCGGAAAGAATTCCTCCAGGTATGACATCGACTGAAATGCATGATGGGCGTTATCCTGTTAATTCTGGGATTCGGTACACGATATCTCCATATCCCACCACATCGATCGGCCACTGCTAACCACCGGTTTAATATAAGCTCATTCCATGAAATTAGCACAAAAATTTATTATTCGTTAAAAAAAAAAGAGATTCAGACACAATACGTAGGCCGAAGCAGTCATGAATCCAGGGCCGTTTCTGGGGATGTTGGCGCCCAGGGCAAGCAGTTCCAATGGCGCCCCCCTCCTCCCCTTTTACCCTGCTGGCGCCCTCCCCCCTCCCCCTTTACCCCGCTGGCGCCCCGGGCGATCGCCCGCTTCGCCCGCCCCTAGAAACGGCCCTGCATGAATCCGACATAACTCCAGCACGATATCCGAGAACACTTGGACGGGACTGGAACCAGCACAGGAACAGAGCTCTTTTTATTGATAATATTTCTATCAGCTCAGTAGCTCCTCCCCTGGTCGGGAGTTATTTGTTTGCATAGACTCATTGCATACAAACTTTCATCACATTCGGATCCTTCTACTCTTGTGGAGTTTGACACACCCTCGAAAAGATTTTCCTCAAAAGCGATGAAAGGAACTATCATAGTCGAAGAGATCATAGGACATTTCTCATGCGGGCACAACATCCTATGATGGTCAATTTGGAAGTTGAAGAATCCTCCTTCCATCCTTCGAGCCAGAGTTCCTGGAGACTCGTTGGACTGGGTTAACTCATTAGACAAATGTTTTAAAGCATCCAAGTGTCGTCAGCAAAGGTGTGTGCAGGGAAAGGTCGGTGACAGAATGAAAAGTTCTGGGAACTAATTCGAGCTGATTCAGTATTGATACGCTATAGCGGCGATTTAGGCGTCATTATGCTTCGGTTGGGGGAACCTTGTTTTTCGATTTCCTTCATATACGTCATGAAGTAAAGGATATTATTGATTAAGCGGTACCTTAACTGAACGCTCAAAAGTTGCTCATCCGTGAACATCAAACGGTCCAATGCTTCTTTAAATACATGTTAAACGTTTTCGAGATCGTTCATGTACTACTCGGGAGAGGATAAAAATGAGCTTTCCTTTCTCTTCCACGTTATAGCCTAGGATTAACATTGAGGTGCACGACCTTGTAGAATTACAAATAGAAACAGTTTGATTAGCACAGAATATTCAACGCAAAAAGAGCACAACCATAAACATGATAAAAGGAGAAAGGAGTTTCATTTGAGACTTCCAAGTAGTGTCGGTTTACAGTGAAGTTTCGAGTGTCTCGACGATGTGCCTATTGAAGAGAAATCATTGGTGTACGCCTGACACCAGTAGCCGCAAATATGGCATGGGATAAGGACATCTCTCTTGATCGCTTCAGATTTTTCATAGCTGAATTTTTAAAATTAAAACAATATTCTA